CTAGTGGGCAAACCTCAGATTCTTCTAGATACACACACACATTGATGATGTGAATCCAAAATATTGGCATATATTTGTTATGTGAATTTTAAAATCTTGGCATGATGCATAACATAATTCAAACAATTTGATATAATTTTAGTCTGGGGGGGCGAGAATTGTGTAGTTCAAGTAAATGCTTTTGTTGCAAGGGCTTCTGATACAATCATAGCACCATTAGAATGTTGCACTTTACATTAATATCTCATGTAAATCAAAAGTAGAACTTTATTGTGCCATACTAATTTTTTGAAATGTATTGTTTCTTGATGTTTTCATGCAATGTTCATTGCATGACCTAACCTAGGAATGATTAAGTGTTCAACTATAACTAGTAGGACTACTGTCTACATGCTATATATCGTATGATAATCATCTCTCCAATGCCAGAGATATGTATCCTACATATTGTGTATTCATTTGCTCATCCTTCATTTGAAATGGTTGATGGCAAGGTTTGCTTGTATCTGTTCCAAGCAAACTGCTGAAGCATGGAATACTAGTTAAGGCTGCTCCAGTGAGGAAGCGACAAATTGCTGGAGCATAAGCCTCCCGTCATTGATGGTGTTACCACTATAGGCCAAAAAAGTGAGAGATGTTCTCTTAAGGACAACTAGTTCCATCAAATTTTTTAAGTGATGGAGGTTAGTCTTTTTTCTGGGAAGGGTACTTAATCAATGTATGTCGGACATGGTTTTTGATAGGCCCCATAGGGTCATACCCCCAGTAGTTGTAATTTCTTCAATCATTTCACAATTATGTTTTGGATGTCAGCTTGTGCGACTTCAGAAGCATTAGCAGAAGGCTGATTAGAGCGTTGGGCAACAGTAGGTTGTTGTATGTATTGGGCCCAAAAAGGGGTTGCCTGATTTAGGCAGTACAGAATCTTGTGGTACATGATTGCTCACTGGAGGGGTCGTGCAGAAAGCAGGTTATTTACATTATCTTTCAAATCCCCGATGTCAATGTCCCTACTTGAGAGCAATGCTTGGGTATGGACTTCCTTCTCTGCCAATAGCCTTTGAATCTCGTATGTTAGTACTTGTGACACATAATCCCCCACGGCAACTACTAACGCTGTAGCCATGGTCGACTAACTCTGGCTGAGGAGGTGTATTGGGATGACTCATGGAGTGCTTCTTTCCCTTTTCTTCCTGATATTGGGATAAGCTATGGGATTTCAAGCCTAATTGGCTCGTCATTCTCTTCAAACAATGGGTTGATCAATTGTGGGACTCCTCGGTCATCATCTGATCGAGAGACAACTCCTCCTTCCTCCTCATATGCTGAGGAGAGAGAAGCTTTGTCTTCAACCAGAGCGGGAGAAGTATGATCATCCCTTCATTGAGCTTTACCTCTTCCTTGGGCTAGTCTACCACGTGCAGCAGATTCTTTTATATCAATGACACATATTTGCACTCATCGGGAGGATACAGTCATTTTTTACAGTCGCTACAAATTCCATATATGCAGCTTCAAGGAGCTGTTGCAACTTATAAGCTTTGAGGAGATTCGCCAACCCACAAACCTCTTGACAGATCCTCCTTAATTTGGGCAATGTCATTAAAAAGGGCTTTGATGGTGTCGACTTCCCTAGAACATGGAAAAGCACACAAAACGCATAGAAGATACTTTATCAGGGTTAGCCCAGTGACGATCTCTCATATCCCATCCAGTCGAATGGTTGGGGGAGGCTATTAAAGTCCTACACCCTGGATCCTTCCATAGGGCCTAAGTTTGAGAGAGCCGTTCGTTTTTTTTGTTATTAAGGGGCTTAGTAACTATATAGTTATATGTCCATCTAATCGCTCATTGAGGGCTTTATATACGTCCAATACCCCCTTTATGCTTACGTAAAGCTTGGAACCTGTAGTCCTCCTGCTTTGGGGTAGTCCTTACATAAATATATTTAGGAGATATTGGCTTTGGTGCCCTCCTTTTTATGTACTTAGTATTATCAGCCCAGCTAGTCGCTCGTTGAGGGTTTGATATGTGTTCGATACCCCCTTTATGCTTACCTAGATCTTGGAACCTGTAGTCATCCCTCTCTGAGGTAGACCAAAGTTTCTTCAGTGGTTGATACGAACATCGCAACTGACGAGGTTGAAAAGGTGTAGCACTAGATACTTGTATAACTCGCGTGGAGGATATTTATGAGGCAATTCCCTTATCACACCCTAGGCGAGGGAAGTGCTTATTCAAACCCTTCTGGGATTCCAAAGGACTAAGAGATAAACTCAAAGATGGTTTCAGAACTGATGCAGATGAGCGGGTTTGATAAATACCCCCTGCTCTGGCTGGTTTGAGAAACTTTCCTTTCTTCCGTACTAGATAATCGAGGGAAGAACTAGCAGCTGACAGTTATCACTAAATACGATAATCTTGACCGTTTGACCTCTATCACCCATGATAAGGGTCATCACAAGGAGCACTTACCACAATAAAATCCTCAGAAGGTGAGACATCCCTTTGTTGTTGAATAGGTCTTGGATGGGAACTCCATGGCTGGCTAACAATAGTTTTCAGGCATGTGGCCATATTGTTCTTAGTCGGGCAAATAGCATTGTTTGTTATGGAACACAAATTGTTCCTACCGTTAATGGCATTGTTTGGTATGGAACACAAATTGTTCCTACTGTGAAAGAAGTGGACATATTCATTGGCCCTCGACTCGTTCGAGTCGTGATTGAAGAGAAGAGCGGTGAATTGATCCCCTGGGGAGTCGCCAGAATGTTGGGGTGATTTTAAGTTGAAAATATGTAAAGAACACACAACATACTCAGAAGAACTTCAAAAATCACTTTGTCAGGGTATATCTGTGATAGAGCTTTATTTTATTTCTGGGGATCAAACAATTCCAAGGTATCCATAGATGCCTTGATAATTACATTCATTGCCTCATACAATGGATATGTTCATAAACGAATTCATCAAGAAGAGAAACATAGAAGGAAGGAACTGACTAGTAAGTCTTGTTGCTATGCCTACTTGTATGAATTTGTTCATATAAATACAATGGTAAACACAAATAAATATCTTGGTGTGCCTGTTATCTTTCAGTGATTGTATTTCTTAATATATCTCTCATCTTTTCTCTTTTATGTCTTGATGTGTTTGATAGAGCTATTTATAGTCGTCGAACACTTCGATTAGTGGCTCTTGATCGTGTCAAGTAGTGAGGATGTAGTGTGTATAGTGGTCCTTATGTCTTGCTTTGACAATGACACGTGGTCTTGCATGATTTTTTGTAGATTCTAGACTGGTCATCTCATCTTGAATGTGTGCCGCGACATCTTTATCAGGCTTGTCATTCTAGAAGGATGTAATGTCTTCCATCGGGAGTAACTTGGGTGTGGGTGAAATGTTTTATCCTTTTGACAAGTTTAGTGTATGTAGTCTTTTGGAATGCATTCACAAATCATCGGATCTCTAGGTTTTAGAAGATGAGTAACAATCAACGGTATTTTGTCAAATATAATCTTTGAGGGTAGATGGTCTTTGTATTGAAAAGTGTGAAATAGTATAATAGGAGTTATTTTTCATATCCACCGGTGCATTAGTGGTAGGAGGAGCAAATTCACCAGAGAGTCTCATAATAGGCTCAAATTCACTAGAGAATCTCGTAATTGGCCAATCAAGGTTAGTGCGCATTTTAGAATTGCACTCGTACTAGGTGGGTCATATACTGGACGTCATTCCTGGTACTTCATGAGTGTACCAAAGCATCATTCTAGAAGGATGTGGTGTCTTCCATGAGGAGTAACTTGGGTGAAATGTTTCATTCTTTTGATAAGTTTAGTGTATGTAGTCTTTTGGAATGCATTCACAAATTTTCGGATCTCTAGGTTTTAGAAGATGTGAGTAACAATCAAGGGTATTTAGTCAATAATAATCTTTGAGGGTAGATGGTCTATGTATTGAAAAGTGTGATATAGAATAATAAGGGTTATTTTTCATATCCACCATAGCATTAGTCGTATGAGGAGCAGATTCATCGGAGTCTCATAATAGGTTTAAATTCACCAGAGTGTCTCACAATAAGCAAATCAAGTGTAGTACACATTTTAGAACTATACTTGTACTAGGCGAGTCATATACTAGATGCCATCCCTGGTACTTTATGAGTGTACCTAAGCATCAACTTAAATTTATATAGTATCTTTCATGCATAACCTAAGTAAAGAAATGATAATTTGTTGAGGAATAATGTTTTCTCAAAATGTATTAAGGCAAAATTAGTGTAAGTCAAAATTATACCCAAACATACGTGCTTTCATGAAAATATGGGACGTGCATTTCCAGTAACAACTCAATTGTAAAATTTGCAGGCAAAATGGTGAACTTTTGACCGCCAACTCATTCTTCACGATCTTCAGCCTTTAAGGCATCAAAACCCCTTCCTAAACATGCCATTAATTTTCACTGATGCTTGAAATCGACTAGTTGCTCCAACTAAATGATATTGTACCATTGCTACCAACTATTGGGATTGTTTTTCATAGAGAGTTTAATATTTGAATTGATTTTTTCGAATTTTTATCAAAATCTCAATATAATCAATTTCAATGGAAATGTGATCCATTGTTATATGCAAGTGCATTCTAGTACAAAAACTCGTGGTTCCAGTTTTGAGGGCCCCATTTTCTTGGGGGGGGGGTGGGGGATTCTATCGAAAATTTTGTGAATCTCATCAAATTTGAGATGGGCTCCCTAACAAATGGGCCCTCATTAAATTCCTTCCCCTTGATTTGTTGGTTACACTTAACTGACGACATGGTTCTATAATGGGAATGATATTAGGGTCAAAACTAATAGCTGTGCCGTAGACTGGGTCACTGGGCTCAATCCTTCAGTTAAGACTTTTAAAGAGAGAAATTATAAGATTCAAGGTTGAAACTAACGTCTTTGCCATAGACTGGGCCACTGAGCTCAATCCTTCAGTTAAGACTTTTAGAGAGAGAGAATATGAGATTCAAGGTCGAAACTAACGACTTTGCCATAGCCTGGCTCAATACGTCAGTTAAGACTTTGGGAGAAAGAAAATATAAGATTCAAGGTCAAAACTAACAGCTTTGCCATAAATTGGGCTCAGTTCGCCAATTAAGACTTTGGAGAGAGAAAATAAGGGATTCATGGTTGAAATCAATGGCTTAGCCATGAATTCAGTTCAATCTATCAGTTAAGAACTTGGAGAGAGAAGATATGGATTTTCTTTAGTCAAAATTGACAACTTCGCTATATAATGGGCTGGGTCTGCCCAGTATGACCTTTGGGTGAAGATATTGTGGTTTTGAGCTTCTTAACTGTTAGAGCCTCAGCCTCCTTTGTGGCTTTCAGCTTCTTAACTCTTAGAACCTCCTTTGTGTTGTTTTACTGATTGGGCGTGCATCTTTATCGTCTTCGTGCGGGTTCATCATGACAGTAGAACAACTTCCAATCGATACAGAGGACTGGACCATCTCTTTTTCGGGGGTTAGCTTAGCTCGCCATATTCCCCTTCGAGCTCTCAAGCGTCCTAAGTTAAACCTAAAAAGGCCGTTTGATTTGACATTCATGAGTCCAACCTTTTGGCCTTCCATGGCTAAGGGCTCTGTCGTGATGGACTAGGTAAGGGCTTCGTGCTCCACTATGCTCACCGAGAGGTTTCAGGCAATCGAGAGCTACGAACCTTGGGCCATCACATATTGGATAAAGAGATTGAATGGGACAGGGATGGCTTCCGAAGTGACGGTGAAGGCCACTACCTAAAAATTTATTTTTTTTGGACTGAGGAAGTATGCACAAGATTCGAACCCACTTTACGCCGGGCGGGTCTCTTGAGCTTACTAATGTTCGTCCTGGCTATACGATCGTTGCTCAAACGTGATTCTTGATCATGTGAAGCCGGGATGTCCCTCCTCAACCTCAATTTCATCGGTGGTTTACCTCTACTTGGGGCTTGTTATGATGAGTTTACTCCCACTAACTCGGTAATCTTCATGAGGGAACGAATTGAAGGTCATGTTCCTCCTCGAGAACTTCAAAGGCTCTTTCAAGAATATCAAGAGTTGGCTGCTGCCTCCAAAAGCCACAAAGTTTCCTGCCAAGAGTGGCTTTCTCACTTCTTTCATGGAAAGACTTCTGCTAAGAAGCCCCAAAATCCATTCATCAATGTTAATGATGAGAAAGCGCCCTCGAGCATAAAGATGTCATCTCCTCCTTTAAATTTAATTGATACAAAATATTTGGCTACTATTGGCCTTTTTCCTTTGTAAGTTCACTTTGCCTTGCTCTCATGGTCTGACCATTCAAGTTAAGAGCTTGTATTCCAATGGTGAAAGGTTTTTCCTTCCGCAAGCTCTCTTGTACTGTATTTATTATGGTCTTAGAAGATTGACTGGCAAAAATTGGTTGCTGTAAGGTTAGCTTTCCAATCCATCAATTCATCACTTGGAACCCAAAGTATCTATTCCCCAATAAAGAGGTACCATTAATGCTCCGTGTGGGTTATATCACACCCCTCTTAATGTCAAAAAATATCCTTAAAAAATATTGTATTACAAAACAATGGTATGTAAGGGTCCAAAATTTGTTGAGTACAATTATAAAATGGTTTATAGTGTGAGCACCCTAACATAACCCATGTATATATATGTGGGAAAGTGTATAATGAGACCATTTACCTTTAATACAAGGTGGTCACAATTAATCTTGTCTATCGGATATGAAATTAGGTGGCTGCATTTATTTCATTGACCAAGCTTAAAGTTCAAAAGAAATTTTTTCGAACTTTGTGACACACCCAAGTTATCAGATTTCACATCGAGTGATTGTAAGTATTGTGACCTCCTTATACCAAAGGTAAATGGTCTCATTGTATACAATTCTTATATATATATTGGGTGGGTAACTTTTTGACCTCCGAATCAATTCATTTCATATCAATTAATCTTATAGTGTTGTAAACGTGATTTGAGCTTCTTTTGTGTGTGTGTGTGTGTGTGTGTGTGAGAGAGAGAGAGAGAGAGAGAGAGAGAGAGAGAGAGAGAGAGTATTCTTAGTTTGTTTTGGTTCGTTGTTACGTTTACTATGACGTAAAGGTAAGTTTAGGTTAGTTTAGTGTACGTAGTACGTTACGTACTTACTTTTACCGTTCTCTATTCGTC